GTCAGCGAGATAGGTTCAGTCTTTTTCGCTGCGGATGCTGGGGCGTGTCAGGAAGCTGGGTTTGACGCGGCGTCAGCTCGTTTTCCACCAGTTAATGTCGCTTGCCCTTTTAAGCTATCGACAGAGAGCGGGTCTTTCAAAGGCAAGTACGATCCCTCACCCCTGGCGACCAAATGTGATTTCCAGGGAAGAGGATCACACCTGATCGCCAAAGTGAGGAGATTCGTACAGTCTTTGAGAGTAATATTTGTGGTTTTCGACTTCCCTGAACTTTTCCCGTTTCACGTGCGTCTCCTCTCGCGCTCGATCGCATATTTTGAGGAAAAAGTGAGGAATTTTTTCAGAAAGTTGGCAAGTTGCATATGGCTCGGGAAGGGGTAATGCCAGAGGGGGAGAAGAAGGGGTCGCATTTCACCACTTTTTCCTCAGCGGGATTGCATTGTTGACAGAGCAACAGATCCACGACAGTTAGTGGGTTCACGATTATCGATCGGCGCGCACGATAGCTCATTCCATAGCCTTCGAGGATACGGAAAATATTCCTTTCAGAAGATTCAAAGTGGTTTATGGGATAGCTTCTGCTGGTGAATAGATAAACACTATTCAACAGAACTTTGTTATCGTAGTCAGAGGATTGAATTGCATAGGAACTGTCTGCTGACTCTGGAAAGGATTGATCCATTCGCGACACGGAGCGAGTTATTTATTTGGACCAATATGGCCACCCTTCTGTCATGGTCTCCCCTGCCACTGCGGAGATCAGCTTTCTCGCTGACTTCAGACGCGTCACATCTGCTGGTTTGAAGAGTTCGAAGCGTTCTTCACTACTTCCATTGATGTTAGATCCGTTATAGTTTCAGCCCCAAGACAACATTACTGAATTACTTTTACATCACTTACTGAAGTCTGAAATTACAGTAATACCGTACAGCTTCTAATAGCAGCTCTTGGAAATATAGGTGTAAATATTTTCAGTTATCGCTCATACGCATTTGACTGGAATCGGACTGTGTTCGCCATCTGCAGGAACAGTTGCACTGCCAAGAAAGGGAACCAGACTATACAGGAAGATCTTGTTTATCCTTCGACACCAGCTCTCAGCTTACATTGGATCCACACTCCAACCACTTAGCTCAACCTATGAGAGCAGACGGGTCACGGTTGCGCTCCAGAACCTCTTCCTTTTACTAGTAGTCCGATCCAGGCACGTCCTGGAGCTGGGCAGAATTTCCCCCTTATACTACCATTCGCCTCCAGCACGACCCTCTCTCACAGTCGACCGATGACTTCTGAAGGAAGGACGTGCCAGCAGTCTTGTCGAGTGAGTGCACACATTACTCATTGCCTGTTATGCCATGTGAAGGAGCACGCTCTTCGAGCAAATTGTTTTCTCTTATTGCCCCCCCCCTATGTACAGATAGTTACTAGCGTAGCGTTCAGTTAGCTTTTACACCGACGTTGTCGCCTCACACGCTTCCTGCTTTCCCATACTGTCTCTGCTGTCTCCTCCGCACAGTAGTGTCTCGCTTCTTCACATGCTCGTCCAGTGTTGAGCCCTTGTTTAGAGCGTTATAAACGGTTTCTTTCATAACTAGAAGGTCAGCTACAGCATATAGGAGTTCAAGAGCTTTTATATCTCTCAACTCTTACTAGGTTTCGATTGCTGTTGCATGTGCTTTTGTAGGTCCTTGAATGAGTAAAGCTAATAACGGGTTTCACATGAATGAAGGCTGTTTTTCTTACATTAAGTTTCATATGAAAAGTGAAGATTTACACCAATTTGCTATAATCCGTTCAATAGCTTTTTCTTACGTTCAGTTTTTTTTTTCAAGAAAAGTGAAGATTCTCAGCAATGTGCTATAACCCATTCAACAGATGAGTTTCTGCAAGAAGGGGTGCTCAGCTTTCTGATGTCTCTTCACTTTTGTCGATTTGGTTCATTGAAATGGAGTGTTGGGTCCAGGGTCAAGCATCATGTCTCGGGAAATTCTCCGGTAGATACGAGCTCGCTACAGAAAGAAGTGTCTTTACGACCCCCTCCCAGGCTGTCGATATATCTGCCCACTCTTTGCGGTTCCGTTGGGAACAGAAGACTGAATGACGCGTTGGACTTCCGCTTAACTTCAACAATCCTTGCAAAGGGCAGAACATCTTCCGCAAACGACCTTTTGCCAAACAGTCAGCAAGATTCGTGGTTTCTGGAAATCGTCTTTAGGAAATACATCAAAGCAACCATTGAGCTTGCATCACAGCTT